TAAAATAAATTTCATATTTATTTTAAGTTGAAGTTTTAGTTTTATAGCATTTTCCAATCTAACATATATTGTTAGGTATAAAAATTAAAATTAAACAAAATGCCTTGCAATAAAGATATTTGAATTGATAGAAAATTAATTGGGGAAAAAAATACACAAGAGTGAAAAAAAAAAAAATTTGGATGAAATAATAATAGAAAAATTAAAACTTTGAAGAATAATAAAATGATATGAAAATTTTTACGTAATGTAATATATATGGGGGGGGGGGGGGGTGGGGGAATTGTTATTTTTCAATTAAGGGTATTTTGGCATAGTTAGCTATCTATAATAATAAATTTTTAAAGGGGTACATTCACAACACACTTTTTAAAAATAAATACACCACATTTTAATTACATTAAAAATCATTAACTTTTATTCATTATCACACTTATATCACATTCTTATTTTTAATAATTCATTACTCAAAAATTTTGTCCTTACCGTGTTTTAAAATGAATGTCAAATATTTAATTGCATTTGTGCAATATTATTTGTTTTGTTTATACAAAACTACAATGGACAAATTAGTTATTACTCTATCTTAAAAATGATTTTGGAAAGAAACCATAATCACGAACAATTTGTGTTATTTTGAGAATAAGAATGCAATGAAAAAAATTTGAAACAAACGTGACAATATATAAAGGTTATGAATCTTTAATTCAATTAAAATATAGTTTTGTTATTAAAAAATGCAGTGTGAATATATTTAGCCATTTATAAATATTTCTATTTTTATTTGCAAAATGAGGTTTTTTTTTTGTTACGTAAAATTCAAAATATAAATTATATACAAATTGTAAATCTATAACATATTAAATATCACATCAAGTGCGAATTATTTTTTGGATGATTTTAGTCATACGGAAATTCAATTATTTCAATAATATCTTATTTTTCAATATGTAATAAATATTGTTACGCTTCACCACCGAGTCTCCAGTCAAAGTGCTACGTGGAAAGGAAAGTTAACAAAGACCCAATTAGTCAAATGCAAATAAATCAAACCATGTCTGAAACTCCTGTGCTGAAGCACTGTCTAAATGACTGAAACTCTTAAGTCGAAGTGTTACATAAGAAATCAAAGAAGAAGCCGAAACTCTTCACACAGAAAACCACCAATATGAAGCTCCCTGCAGTCAAAGCCTTCAGTTCATCCGAAATCCTTAAAACTGAAGTTGTTCTTACAAAATTTGTAGGCAATTTTTAGAAATGATTGATGTAACGTTTGTAATTAAGAATGTCAGGTGTGTTAACATAATGTATATAGCGGTTGACATGTTATCAATGTATTTAATATATGATAAACTTAGTTATGTGAGGTTTCAGTCAAATAGATAAGGTCATGTGGTTCAGATCCAACTATCACCACGTTGGTCAAAACTCTATAAATATATGGTATTTGTAAATTGTAAATGATGGTGTTTTGAATATTGATTCTAATATACAATAATACACTCAAGAAAAATACTCTCAATATACCTTGTTCTACATTTGTTAGTTTGATTTTAGGTTATTGACACTTTGTACGCGATTGTTCGTTAGTGCAATCATCTTAATCATTATCGTCGGTGCTCGAATATTTCTATCTCGCGCTGTAAAGCATCTCTCGTGTTCACACGCTCATTTTCTCCATTCGGTTCTCGAGTCAAAATGCGTCAGGACTTGTTTGAGTTGACGTGAGTGGACCTGACATCTGTGTCCACGTTGGCATTACGAAAAATGAGGTCAAAAAATACTACAAAAAATTGTCACATTACTACTCCTTTCGTCCCATTTATATAAGTTGATTTTATTTTTCACACGAACTAAGAAATTTTATTTAATGTTATTGAAAAAATAATTTTTTTCCAAAAACCTTTCTAGTTTACCCTTGTGTATAGGGGTGGACGCAGGTCGGTTCGATTTTTTTCGATTCCAGAAATTCTCGGGTATTTAGTAAATGGAACCGTCGATTCCAAATATAATTTTGGAACCGTTCGGGTTCAGTTCGGTTCCGTACTATAATTAAATTTTTTAACATTTAAAATAATACTACATAAATACATTTGAAAGTGGATACTAATATTAATAACAAAAAGTAGATATAAATACGAAATTCAATCTTAA